CCAGCTATAGAAGGACGAGCTGGAACGCCAGTGCGAGGCCATGCTCACCCAGGGCATCATCCGGCCGAGCACCTCGCCCTTCTCCGCACCGGTGTTGTTGGTCCGCAAGGCGGACGCGTCTTGGCGTTTCTGCATCGACTACCGCGCCCTCAACGCCAAGACGTCCAAGGACAAGTTCCCGATCCCGGTGGTGGACGAGCTCCTGGACGAGCTCCATGGGGCTCGCTTCTTCACTAAGCTCGACTTGCGGTCGGGCTACCACTAGGTGCGGATGCACCCCGACGACATCGCCAAGACTGCCTTCCGCACGCACCATGGCCACTACGAGTTCCTGGTCATGCCGTTCGGGCTCTCCAACGCGCCGGCAACGTTCCAGGCGCTGATGAACGACGTGCTTCGCCCCTACCTGCGGAGGTTTGTGCTGGTTTTCTTCGACGACATTCTCATCTACAGCTCGTCGTGGGCGGAGCATCTGCAGCACATCGCCATCGTCCTCAACGAGCTTCGGGCGCACCACCTCCACCTCAAGCGCTCGAAGTGCTCGTTCGGGGCCACGTCAGTGGCCTACCTGGGTCACGTCATCTTCGCTGATGGAGTCGCTATGGACACCGACAAGGTGGCCGCAGTCGCGGCATGGCCACCTCCACGCTCGGCCCGGGGACTTCGCGGCTTCCTGGGCTTGGCGGGCTACTACCGGAAGTTCATCCGGGAGTTCGGGCTCATCGCGGCTCCCCTGACGCGTCTCTTGCGGCGAGACGCGTTCGACTAGGACACAGAGGCTGCGGAGGCCTTCCAGGTGCTCAAGCGCGCCCTCACCACCGGGCCCGTGCTCCAGGTGCCCGACTTCGACAAGTTGTTCATGGTGGACTGCGACGCTTCGGGTGTGGGGTTCGGCGCTGTCCTTCACCAGGGCGCCGGACCTCTCGCCTTCTTCAGCCGCCCGTTCATGGCTCGACATCTCAAGCTTGCAGCTTACGAGCACGAGCTCATCGGTTTGGTGCAGGCCGTGTGCCACTGGCGGCCATACCTTTGGGGACGGCACTTTCTTATTCGCACTGACCATTACAGTTTAAAGTTTCTCTTGGATCAGCGCTTGTCCACCGTGCCTCAGCATCAGTGGATCAGCAAACTCTTCGGCTTCGACTTCACGGTGGAGTACCATCCCGGCCGCCTCAACACACCGTGGGCGGACGCTTTGTCTCGCCGCGACACGTAGCGGGAGGCGACAAAGACGGAGGGGGCGCGTGCTCTCTCGGGCCCCTCTTTCGCTTTCTCGATGATGACGCGCGCGCCACCGGGGAGGCCGAGGACGCCAAAGACCGCTTCCGGTGAATGGCCGCCGGGCGCCGGTCGCCTCGGCGCTGGATGGTGGGTTGCTGCTTCATGGCAGCAGGATCTTCGTCCCCGACCACGGCGACCTGCGCCCCCAGGCGCTGCTGCTGGCTCACTCGGCCGGCCATGAGGGTGTCCAAAAAATGCTCCACCGCCTGCGCACCGACTTCTACATCCCGGGCGATCGTGGCGCCGGATACAGATCGGTGCGCCATTGCGCATACTGTCGGTATAACAAGACGGAGACGTTATGCCCGGCCACTTCTTTGCAAATCACCGGAGGTGCCCTCCCAACTGTGGGCGGACATTTCCATGGACTTCATCGAGGGGTTGCCCAAGGTGGGCAGCAAATCCGTCATTCTTACGGTGGTCGACCGCTTCTCCAAGTACGCGCACTTCATCGCGCTCGGCCACCCTTTTGCTAACGCCGCGTCCATCGCCTCGCGCTTTCTTCGACGACATCGTCCGGTTGCACGGTTCCCCTCCATCGCTCGTCGATGGGGACCCGATGTTCACCGGGAATGTTTGGCGCGACCTCTTCGATGCACCGCATCAAGTCGCGCTTGAGCACGGCTTTCCACCCCCAGACTGACGGCCAGTCCGAGGTGGTTAACAAGGTGATCGCCATGTATCTTCGATGTATCACAGGTGATCGTCCGCGCGCATGGGTGGATTGGCTGTCTTGGGCCGAGTACTGCTACAACACTTCGTTCCACACGGCCCTGCGCGCCACGCCATTCGAGGTGGTCTACGGTCGCCCTCCGCCGCCCATCCTGCCGTATCAGCCGGGGTCGGCCCGTTCCGAGGCCGCCGCGACGCTTCTCCGAGACCGGGACATGATCTTGGCCGAGGTGCGTCAGCGCCTTCTCCAGGCGCAGGAGCTGTCTAAGAGGTACTACAACGCCGAGCACCGCGACGTGGAGTTTGCGGTCGGGGATTGGGTTTATCTGCGCCTGCTCCACCAGACGGCTCAGTCCCTTGACCCTCGGGCGAAGCGCAAGCTCGGTCCGAAGTTTGCCGGTCCGTTCCGTGTTCTGGAACGCATCGGTTCCGTCGCCTACCGCCTGTAGCTTCCGGAGGGCGCACGGCTTCATGACGTCTTCCACGTGGGGCTGCTCAAGCCCCACCGCGGCGACCCTCCTGTAGCAGCCGGCGAGCTGCCCCCGGTCCTCGACGGCCGGCATCTTCCTGCTCCAGAACGTGTCCTTCAGGCTCAGCAGCGTCGCGGTGAGTGGCGCCTGCTGGTCAAGTGGCAAGGCCTTTCCGACGACGACGCCACTTGGGAGTCTCTTCCAGAGTTCCGCGACTAGTTTCCCGACTTCCAGCTCGAGGACGAGCTGTTTGTGCAGGCGGGGAGAGATGTTATGACCGGCTTCCAATATGCCAGGAGGAGGCCCATTAGTGGGTAGATGAGGCGCAGGAGCTAGGGGCTAAAAGCCCATATTTATCTTTAATTGTTTATTTCCATAATTAGTACACCAATTAGCCATATATAGGAGTTGTAATTCTCATGGACAGAGTTAAGCAAAGAGTAATTATATTACTCGGCTTCCCTCAGGGAGCCGGGAGTTCCAGAACCCTAGCCGCCATCTCTCTCTCTCTCTCGTCGTGCGATCACGGCGCCTCGCCGCCGTACGACGTTCAAGCCCCGACCACCGATCTCTCACAGCTACAACCTCCGATCGACAAGGCACAGAGAGCAGCTGCCTATCACATATATTCTGTTAGAGTTTTATGACGCTTTATATTACTAACATTTGTTTGAGTTTAAATTTGTAATACAAAATAAGAATACAATTCTGAATTCAATACAGGGAGACCACTTATACAAGTAGGGAAAAATGATTCCACATTTTTAGTCTGATATGTTGTGAAATATATAATTTTTCCCAGTTCATAGAGCAGAGTTTTGAGGTGAGTTGTGCCAAAGAGTCAAAGACCAGGGCTTCTCAGCTTAGAGATTACTGCTACAAGTTACAACAAAAGTCAATGTCCATACATTAAAAAATGGCATGAATTGTGCAGGCTCTCTGCATGATATACTGCGAAATACCGATGCACAATTATTTCACAGTGCTACGATGGCATGTTTTCCAAGTAAATTCAGCTCCATGCTCTGTACAGTACCGATCGACCTGTGGTGTCAACAACTGAACTGAGATTCAGTTACTGAAATCAAAGATCCTACCATGTGATTAATCCAGTATACATGATTTCCGCACCTATGGTTCTCCTTTATACATGGAGTTTTAAAAGCAACAGTAACGGATTTTCATGTCTGATGTCTCGTTGCCACTGATGATGCTATTTGCACATGATATAATATTAGAGTGAAAACAATTTTGAAATAGCAATGACGTGCTCTTTGCCCTCGCAGCTTTGCTGCTGGTCTCTTTTTCTTCATGTCACCTGCTTTGCTGCTACTGTCTTTTTTTTTTCGTCATGTGAGGAGGAACTTTTAACACTACTTATAAGGAAAATTAATGAATGTGTTAACCTTCAATAGTTACATGTACGCTGCCTAGCTCTGAGAGGGTTATTTGGAGATCCAGAAGCTCGGTGATCAGCACTGTATGGCAAAACGAGCCCACGTATTGATCTGCTGTTACTCCTGTCAGTGTGCAACTAATGTCTCTGAAATAAATTGCCTGATAGTGATCATGTCCTCTGTAAGCTGCTGCAGGTTATCTTTTTAAAAAATAATTCCAGATGACCGGTGCTGTTCTTATGCAGGGCAGTGTCATGAATTACAAAGGATTGAAAGACGCATTATCTCGCAATGCACACCATCAAGTGGGTGTCACAGAAACTGGAGCGCATTTGCTTTGGTCCATACAAAAATAAGAAATCATTTAGGCTATGACAGGCTGCACAAATTGGTGTACGTGCATTATAATCTGAAACTGTGCATCCAACGATTCCAAGCTCACTTCCAAAATTTCCAAGGAAAAGATTCTGATCCATGTAGCATAACAATAGATTTTCATAGGAAGGTAGCTGAATTAATTGGTAAAAAGACTTCGATATCTTCTCAATCACTTGTTCATGCAGGTAACAGGAATGGACTGCTCTGAAATTTTGTTCAGTTAGTGTCTCTTTGCATCCATTCTAAAAGATTGCACAGCGTGATTAAACCCCAAGTACCAGTGTTTACAAAGTTTAATATATCTACTGCATTTTATTGTTTCCATGACCACACTTATCAGGTTCCTTAAAGACTGTTTGGGATTGGTCGCACGAGAGAATTTGAAGCATCCGTGGCTCCTCCGTGCGGGGGCGCGTGGTCGCGGTTGTTTTGCAAAAACATCCTCATAATTTTCTGTAATCAGCCCGCGGTCCAATCCAACCTATGTATACAGTAACTGCGTTCAAAATTTTCATGTAAAGATCCTTGTTGTAATGTTTATTTCAACGTACTAGAGAAAAATCAATACCCTCATCATTCTCGCAGAGAACCCCAAGCAGTTTTGCGTAGAACCCCTCCTCTCTCTTCCCTTTCTCTCTCTTCTCCCCGCCGCCGCTATCGCCGATCTCTGCATCTCAGCGCACACGGCCCATGCGGCATGCCGACGTTGTTGGCCTCCTGCGTCGGCACAAGTGTGAGATCTGCTACCCTCCACCTCCAATTTACACCGACGTCTCCGGCCTCGTTCCCGAGCTCTAGGCCTCTAGCCACGACCTAAAATGGAGCAGTCGCCGCCTCCATCCGTGGTCGTTGCGTCGCGGGCCCTCTTCTCCCCCTCGTGGTTTTGAAGACAACATCGGGCCTCGCCGTTCCTCAAGGACTTTTGCTCCGCCTCGCACTGCCCGGAGGTCGGAGGGGGACCCAGGCGAAGTCCAACCTGGCTGTGGAGAGCGTGAGGCCCAGTGTGTTCGCTGATTCTCCGTCTCCCCATCCGGCCTCTTGATCCAACAGCGTGAGCCACGGTGCTGCGGATCACCCGCCTAGGTACGCGGTGCTCGGAGGTCGCCAACCCGAGACCACAGACCTCTGCCTTGAAGCGCGAGAGCACATCCTCGCGGGGCGCTGGCTCGACATGGCCACCGACTTGCTCCTCACCTCCCGGTCTTGCGTCCATTACACAGGCACCTTCCCTTTCTTCCTCTCTCGTCCAATTCAAACGTTTTATTTGCTCACTCATGGTTGGCGATTTGGGCATTCAGCTATGCTATGCTTTTGCGGATCTGGAGTGCATCCTTTGTCATTTGCAGCTTGGTCACCAAGGTCAGATCCAAAGACCCAACATCATCACGACAGACCAGCGCTGCAAATCAAAGTGTAAGCAACACCGTTAACATGAAAATTCAACCAATTCGATTGTTTGCTCTTAGGATCTAAGGGGTTTGCTTAAAGGCTTGTTTCCATTGTATGTTGTCCGTTTAACTTGTACAATCCGCTCCTGAGCCCCTATGACAACAAAACATTTGTTACAAGAAGGCTCTTCAGTTCACCACCACTGGAATTGGCAATCTGGAGCAGAGGGTACCATGGGGAATGAGCGGTGGTGAGCTGGTCATGTGGAGCAAGAAGTCTGTAGGAAACTAGCTATGGTGGAGTCCATGCTCGTGCTGCTGTAGGGGTGCCTTTGCCCGCAGTCCAGGCTTTGGCCAAGTTTTACTGATATGGCAAGGTGTTCGGCTTTTGGGGAAGGTATGTGTAGTGACTATCTCAGGCTAGCAGCCTGCTAGAAGATTTTACACATGTCCAAAATTTACTGCTGCGGTTTGCGCTAGAAATTGCGTTGTTTTACCAGTCTACACATGAACTGAATTCCAACCACTTGTTCTGAAAGTCCTGACTTGCATCTTGTCTGCGTACCATCAAATGATGTAACTTAGTTGCAGTTTGAGATTTATCCTTCACTGATTTGCACTAAATGTACATTCCACCCTTTTTCTTTATACTATATAAGCAAAAGACATTAGCACTGTTGTAAATAGTACCCGGAGCCGAATCCGACCTTCCATTAGTTCCTGAAAGCAATCACTTGGTTTGTCAGTCGAAAGATAAAAGAACAAAGCAGGTAGCATGGTACATATAGTTTAAGATTTTTGTTTAAATGTTCAACAGTCCATGTACTGAAACAGAATTCTGACATTACTAGCTAAGTATTGTCAACTTAAGGTTTGAGTTTTTCCTCTACTTTTAAGAATCTGGGTAACTAACTGTAAAATGCTGACACACTGTGACTATGTGTCTATGAAACATGCTTGCACTGAAATAGGGGAGGAGATCTGCATTTCACACCGTTCTAACTTTGTATTGATGTTTCTTTTGTTACGGCCCACCAAAGACACAGAACATCTATCTTGGACCACACGGTGTGCCGCCATTTGGAGAAAACAAGGCAGAGAATACTTCTGTTAGAACTGGGTGTCGTGACTCGTGACAAGAACAAAGCAAGGTAAGCTTATTACAAGGATCTTGGAACTGTGCTGAACAGCAAAAGGAAGCACCGCTGGAGACTTACATTGCCAAGATGGTGTAAACCATACCAAGGACCCCTAGAAGTGATCTGTTTGACTTGTCTATCGTGCCTTGTCCGCAATGATACCTGTTTCCTGTCTACATCTTAACTAAGTGAAAGTCCGGAAACTTATCAGTGTACTGGAAATTGTTTCTGGTCAGCCCTCTTATCTTTTTTTTTCCTCTCTGTAAACATCAGTCCTATAATCTCTAGCTGTAGGTATTCCTGGTCCATGGATATGTACTGTCAGATTTCTGATCCTGAACAATGTGTTTGCTTTGAATGGAAAATTATGTTCCTCGAGCATCTCCTGTGGTTTGTATAGTTTACATTCTAGGCAACTTCTATTGAGATTAACTATTTGAAAATTGATAACCCTCGATTTTTTAAGGCGTTGCTTTTTGTATTTGTGTCCAATGATTCCTGTAGTCCTGTGGATGCCATGATCTTTGTGCCCCTTGGTGGCGGTGTAAGTAAAATTTTCCTCCACGAGAGTGACCTGTGATATCGATTGATTACAAAATGCTCCACGACTGCTTGATAGGGCACGCAAGGCACGCACAAATTTAAAGATATGATTCATCGTGGCCAGCTCGCTCAGCCAACGTGTCCATGTTATTTCGTGGCCGTTCGATCGATCGTCACGCATGGACGATCCAGATCGGGCAAGCCGCGGTCGTTTTACGAAAAACCCCTTTCAGTTTTCGGAAATCAACTCGCGCTCCAGACGTCCTCTCAGATTTTTTTACAAAAAACGCGTCTCATGTTATTTTCAAATCGACGCTGCGGTCCGAACGGATGCGCCTTTGTTTGTTTGCAAAAAGACCTCCACTTTATCGAAATTCAACCCGCTCCCATAGACACTCTCATCATTTTTGCGAAAACATCCTCCGATTTTTGTCAAATCAAAAAACAGATCCACCTTTCATTATTTCTTTTCTTTTTCAAAAAAAATATGTGGGGCCCATGCACACGCGCAAGCATGGGCGCCGCCTCAAGGACTAGTTTCTAGTATATGTTATAGCTTCCTAGCCAGCGCAACTCATGCGAGGGTTCCTGCTAGTACAGATTTAATTCTGAAATCTCTCTGCCTCAACCTTCGTTTGCATCCGGTTGTCTTTGGGCATCCGACTTCAGCTTCAATTTTTTTTAAAAAAAAACTTGTATTCTTTTTTAAAAAAAATGCTTTCTCGTGCTATTGTGAGGAATACATCAAATGGTGGTGTAACCGTATTGGATATGGATAAATATTGCTGACATCAATTTTGTTTTTGTATTTTTCTTTAAAATCGAAGCCGGATATAGATAGTGTCATATACAGATAAAGCCGGATATAGATAGTGTCATATACAAATACGAACGCGGATTTGTCTCGAGTACACATACAAGTAAATACGTATCAAATATAGGACAATCCAAATTCAAATAATACCGGTCACAAATATTCATTCAGATATTTAGTAAAGATAACCACCATATGTATAACATGTTTATTATACACTTGGGTAAAAGTCATCAAACATTTGTGTTGGCTCAAAGTGCGAAGGCCGCTGGTCCGGCCCAAGTGCCCAACGAACTGTCACGTGTGAGATTAGCAAGCAAACCTCCCGCCTGCGCTGATGATGTCCTGATAGATGCTGATTCCAGTTGGACCCATGCGTCAGAGTTAAAGGCCAAACCCAGAAAATGAGTTGGGCTGATGGTTAGGCCTGGCCCATTGGGTGGCATCCGACAGCGCCTAGGATTGCCCGGCTGCCCGCGCCGCTGCGGGGCAACATATCTGCATCTACCGATCCCCTTCCGTGTCCAAACTCCAAAGCCGACAGTCGCCGCTTCCTCGCAATCCAGATCTAGAACCCCGTTTGTTTCACGAGGGAGCGGACAGGTTAGGGCACGATGATCGTGTTTGCTTATGAGGGTTGCGACCTAGATCTCAACAGGAAGGAGGCAGCCGCTTCGGAGGTCTTTCGCGATGGCCCGGCCGGCCGGGCCGGGAAGAAGAGGAAGGAGGCCACGGCGGAGAAGAAGATGAAGGAGGCTGCCGTGTTAGAGTCGGGTGACGGTGCCCTCAAGAAGGAGGGTGATAGCTTGTTCAAGGAGGGTGAGATGCTGAAGCTGAGGGAGGAGTACTGGGAGGCAGCGCTTCTGTGGGAGGACAAGCTTGTCCCGGCGCTCCTGTGGAAGATCACACAGGTGCCCACGATCGACAAGAAGAAAAAGAAGGTGGTCAAGATAATTATGCCCAATGCTTACATCGATGACATTATCGAAAATCCCGACATGATGAGAGAACTCTCTGATGAGGAGATGGCCGAGTGTCTTGAGGAATACCGCCAAAGCTATGCCATTGCCAAGGTCATGAATGCTAAGAACCACGCATATCAGCAAGCCCTCATCGCTCAGTACCGTGCTTTTGGCTTTGCCTATGACGAAAAGGAGGTCATAGACGAGGAGGAGGAGGAGGAGGTGGTGCTGAAGAACTAGGCAGGAAGCAAAGGGGTGGTTTTCGGTAATAATTTACCAACAGCCTGTGTTTAATTTGTTCAAGGTCAAGCTACCCTAAGTGACGGCGGCATATTGCCTACCACTGTACTACTAAAAGAATAGTGTTATTGAATCATGAAATAAATCAAGAAAAATGTGAATACTCACGTCAAGTCAAAGACTTAAAACTGGATGGGCAAATTCTCGCTCAATGTAGCACATCATTAAGTCATTAAGCTAGGACATCTTGTTGCGCAATTCTGTTTTGATAATCTTCATAGTTGAAAAGACCCTTTCAACTGATGTCGTCGCGACTAGTAGTATCAATGCCAACTCAGTTAGACAATAAACCAATAGAAAACCAACATGTTTGCCAAGTTCAACCATTTGTGCAACTAGGCTGTAAGATCTTGATAGCTTCTAAACTCCTCAAGTCTTTTCACATGAATAATGAATAGTTCAAGTTGATCTTTTATACCCCTCTTGTCGGAATAGGATAATTCATCAGAATATATCTCGGTAAGCCGAGAAAACATGTCCACATCACATTTAGAGAATGAATCTCTCGGGTCAAGACAAGAAAAGGAAAGAAACACTTTCGAAGATATCTCATTAAACTGATGATCAAACTCTATGGTAATAGCATCTTAGTAGTATAGAAGGTATCGACATGAAAAATAGTCTTGAGCGATGTTGTCCCTACCCCCCTTTTCTTGATCTGCTAAATCTTGATACTACTTCATTCATGTTTGGTATTGGAATATCGTTTTCAATGCAAAATTTTGTGTCTTTGTGTAATAGTGGCTCCCAATCATCATTCCTCAAATTCATCAAATGTGTTTGCACATCAATAACCACATACATGGCTTGAACAACATTTTGATCCTTCCTTTGCAAGATAACACATAACTCATTTAATTTGTGATGCATAGGATTTACAACATCATATTCATAACGAACACAAATCTAAATGACTCCATGATTTCCACTTGTAAGGAAAATGGACCCTAGTCCCATTTACTTTGGATTTTGGTGTTTGATGACCAACACAACCAAATTGGACTAATGAATTTGCGAGTGATTGTTTTATAGTTCAATAGGATGCAAGATGTGACTTGGACGAAGGTGACGTGATGATCCGATGATCAACACCATAAGCAAGACCCTAAAAGCACAAGAGAAGATCCAAGATACGAAGCAAAGTCTAAGCACGAAGATAGGAACCAAGCCGTACGCAAGATCGCAAAGAAACGAGCTCACAGAGGTGACCGGATGGTGGACCGGACTCTGGCGGAAAGTGACCGGACGCTACGATCAAGTGGCTCAACAATAGAAGGCGTCAGCAGCAACGACCGGATGCTGGACCGGACGCTGGCGGCAAAATGACCGGACACAGAACAACAGCGTCCGATCGAGTACAGAAAGGTTCCAGAGCGGCGAAATTACAACCGGACGCGTCCGGTGGCATGTGACCGGACACTGGCAGCGTCCGATTAGTTGATCGTGGCTCTAACAGTCGGGACAACTGGACACGTCCGGTCAGGACATGATCAGTGTCCGGTCAGTAGCAAAAAAAGCGGGATTTCATCCCCAATGGGTACTTTCTTAGTGGGGCTTATAAATAGACCCCCAACCGGCCATTTGAAGTGTGTGGAGCTGAGGGAACATATCAAGGGTGTTAATACACCATTTTAGTGATCTCCTCTTGTATAGTGCTTAGTGATTCATTAGGTGATTAGCGTAGGTGCTTTGCAAAGTACTTAGGTTGATCAGACCACCGCTTATGCGCTTGCTCTAGGTTTAGGCCTAGTGTTTAGTGAGGTTTACATACCTCTTATCACTCGGTGCTTGCGCGCACCATTGTTGTACATCGGAGGGCCTTGTAGTATTGCGAGAGCACACCAACATGATTGTGGTGTGGCCGCCACCGTATCTACCGGAGGGAACAAGGCCCACGGCGTTTTGGCCGGAAGCTTGATAGTGAAGACGGCGGGGAGCATCTGGGAGAGGCTTGCCGGAAGGCACGTCAGAGACCCACTTGTGTGTGGGGAAGGCCCGAAGCTATCCATGGAGTTACTCGACCGGGAGCTTGGCCCTTGCGAGGGATTCCTTGCGAGGGGCTCCAACGAGGACTAGGGGGAAGCTTGCGTGCTTCTCGATATCTCAGTAAAAATACCGGAGTCATCGATGGGAGTTTGTATATCTCTACCTTGCTCTTTAAGCTTCCGCATTTACATTAATTGTATTACTCCTTTTGTGGTAGAGATAGCATCACTAGCAAAACCATAGGCGCACATTTAGATAGTTTATCTTTTGCATTGGTTTTGCTAAGGTTAGTAAAAGAGGCCATAATTTAGAAGTAGATTTTTAAGTTGCCTAATTCACCCCCCCCCCTCTTAGGCGTCACGGTCCCCTTCAAGTGGTATCAGAGCCGGTTGGCTCAATTTGGACCTTTGGCTTTACCGCCGTTGAGCCGACGCTATTTAGAGTGGTTGGGATGGATACCTCTAGGCCTCCGCACTTTGACAACACTAACTTCCCTTACTATAAAGCTAGAATGGCGTGTCACCTTGAGGCGGTTGATTTGGGTGTTTGGAGAGTCACTCGTGATGGGATGAAACCCATTAAGAATCCCAATAAACCCACAAAGAGTGAAGAAAATGAAATGCATTTCAATGCTAGAGCTAAGAATTGCTTGTTTGAATCATTTAGCATGGATGTGTTTAACCAAGTGTTCACTTTAAATATGGCACATGAAATTTGGTTAAAACTTCAAGAGCTCCATGACGGCACATCTAATGTTTGTGAGCAAAAACATTGTCTAGCTAAACAAGATTTTGATTCCTTTACAATGAATAATGATAAGCTTGTTCGTGATATGTATTCTCGTTCAAATCTAATTGTCAATGAGCTCCATTCAATAAGATTAACAAAGCTAGATGATGCGGACATCGTGAGGAAGATCATCTCTGTGCTACCACAAAAGAAATATGCAAGCATCATCACCATCCTTCACAACATGGAGGACTTGAGCACCATGACTCCGGGCATAGTCATTGGCAAGATAGTGGCATTTAAAATGTCATGTAAGATGGGTCAAGAAGAAGCCTCTTCATCAAGCAAAGGCAAAGCTCTCGCATGTAGCGAGAAAAAGAAGATGAAGGGCAAGCAAGTTGAGACAAGCTCAAGCTCAAGCTCCTCAAGTGAAGATGAAGAAGAAGATGAGGACGATGATGATGATGATGATGATTCAAGTGATGATGATCAATCTTCCTCCTCCATCTCCGACCTTGATGAAGAATCAATCAAACTAATCAACAAGGTGGAGAAGATGATCCAAAGGCTCAGTGTCAAGGGTGTGCCCATCCAAATTTAAGATCTCATTTCCACCAATCAAAGAAATGAGCAAAGAAAAAGAGGATGCTATGGATGCGGTGAGTTGGGGCACTTTGTGAAAGTTTGTCCAAATAAGCCCACACCCAAGACAAAGAAGAAGGCGTGCAAGAACCAAGCCCTCACATCAATAAGGTCATGAGATGATTCTTCAAGTGAAGAAGAACACCATCACAAGAGGCGAGGCCATAAAGCACTCATCATCAAGCTCTTCTCGTGTGTGCCTTATGGCACGAGGTAACGAAAAGCCCATCCTCTAGTGAGAGTGATATTGATGATGAAATGCCTTCTTATGATGAAATTGTGCAACAAAATCTTAATTATGCTAAAGTTTGCACTAGTCAACAAAAGAAACTCGAAAAATTAAAAGAAAAGCTAGATAGTTCATAAGAAGCATACAAAACTTTGCTTGAACAATATGAGAACTTTGCTAATCTCAATGTTGAACTATCTACTAAAATTGAGCAACTTGAGGCTAGTGCAACAATAAATGCATGCACAATCAATGATGAGCAACTTGTAAAGAAAAATGAAAAATTAAAAGAAAAGTTATTTAGATCATAAGATGCTTATAAAAGTTTGCTTGCTAAAATGGAAACCATGTGCAAACATTGTGATGATCTAACTATTAAAGTTGCTAATCTTGAAGCCGTCGATACAACCCCCATCAAGGCATCTAAAAAGAAAAGTTCCATCTTTAATATGCCTAAAAAGGATGACTCTACTTCTTGTAATGATTTATGTTTAGACTCATCTTTGTGCAACCAAGTTTGTGTTGAGAAAGTTATTGTAGATACATGCACACAAGAGGTTGCAAAGGAGAATGAGCAACTCAAGCAAGAAGTAGCTCGCCTCACCAAGGACTTGACTCAAGTGAAAGGCAAGGCGAAGCAAGCCCAACTTCATCAAGATAACACCGTTAAGGGAGTGAAGAAGCTTGATGAAGGACGAACCGTGGTTTGCTAAATGTGCCACAAGGAAGGTCACAAGTCCTATGAGTGCAAGGTGAAGAATGGGGGAGGAGCAAAGAAGAAAGAGAAGAAGCAAACAAGCAAGCTCTCCAACACCTACACCAACAAGGTGGACAAGAAGGCCTCCACACCATACTTGTTAAAGAAGAAGAAAAATGACAAGGTGGTGGCCATCAAGGTGAACAAGCAAGCCAACAATGGAGTCAAACACTTTTGGGTGCCAAAGGAAATCATTTCCAACATGAAGAGCACCAAGAAGGTTTGGATCCCGAAAGGGAAGTGAGAAGTCCGATGGACTTCGGAGAATTTAGAGACTTGGCAAAATATGGGTGCATTTCATGGGGTGCATCATGATGGACAAAATCATTGCCAAGTGGGTTAGTGAATACTATGGACCCAAATTCCCCTTCCCATGTTAGGTAACTAGATTCAATTTGCTTCAAGTAGTACTAGATTTAATTTTCTACAAGTGGTATCTTTAAGCATCTAGTTACTCTTCATGCCTAGGTTTGTATTTGCATGCTTATATCTTTTGTCATGCATACACTAGGTATATCTTATGGTAGGCTTGCTCGGTTTCATTCTTAACCCTTGGAGCAAACCTACATGGTTTAAAATTGTTTAGGAGCATGACAC